GGCGTAATATTCAACTGGAGGTAAAAGAGTTTATATTAAACAATTATCTGTTATTAATAATATTATTTGTTGCTAACAACAATATTTTTTTACAGATACCTTACTTTTTTATCGTTCCGGCTGCTGTATTATCCGATTCTTGTGTGTTGGTTGGTATATCGGAAGCTTTAGTGCAAGATGTTCGAAGAAAAACTTATAGCAGAGATTGAAAAACACAACTGCTTGTGGGACAAACGACAGCTTAGTTACCGCGATCGGGTGAAGAAAGATTTGGCTTGGCGAAATGTAGCTGCTGCTGTGGGACATCCTGGTTAGTATAGAGTTTTTCAAACATATAGCAGTTTTGTAATAGGACGAACCAAATTATAACAAATTTGTGACGAATAATTGTGACGAATACTATATTTTTACTTTACAGAGGAAAACTGCCGAAAGCGATGGAAATCGTTAAGAGACCGATATGGAATAGAATTGAAGGTTGATCAACAACCTAGCGGAAGTGCTGCGTCGTTTAGACGAGCTTGGCCATATTACGAAGCTATGTTGTTTTTGAAAGACACGGTCACGCCCAGACAGTAAGTGTACTTTACATTTGTACAACAAGTATTTATATTTTAAATTGTAATTTATATGTACATATTTTAAGGACAACAACAAACATCGTCTCCCAAACGCCAGAAGTTCTCGGACAAGAACCAGATATACTGGATACTTCCTTTGGATTCCAAATAGGCGAGAGTGGGAACATTATAATAGAAGAGCAAGAAACCACTGCCCCAACGCCGGCTAAGAGACAAAAGAAAAAAAAACGATGAGAACGCCGCCTTTAACGATCTAGTCAACGAAGTAAGTCAGTTTGTGGATAGTCAAAAAAAAACACACAACAATTTCGTGGGTGCGATTGGCGAAGTGTTTGAGAAGGTCCCAGAAGAGAGCCGCCTAGATTTTCAAATGGACGTACTTCAATACGTCTATGCTCAATATAAAAATTATAAAAATTGAATTTACGAAATTTAAAAATTTAAATGACATCCAGTTTGAATTCAATTTTGCGAACTTTATATGTAATCTAATTTAGTATGAAATCTGATTTTGATTTTGCGAATTAAATATGTAATCGAATTTAATATGCAATCTCACAGAAAATGCTTGCTATAATTTCATTGTTTCTAATCAAACACAATTGTACATTTTTTTAAGAAAATATTCAGGATATTATTCCAAACGCGTGGTTTTCGATGCAAGTTTACGAGGCTTACGCGGTTACGAGACATTTAAATAAATAACCTGGATATTTTTTTTTATAAAAAATTGTACAATTGTGTTTGATTAGAAACAATGAAATTGTAGCAAGCATTTTCGGTGAGATTGCATATTAAATTCGATTACATATTAAATTAGATTACATATTAAGTTCGCAAAATTGAAATCAAACTGGATGTCATTTAAATTTTTAAATTTCCTAAATTCAATTTTTATAATTTTTACATTGAGCATGTTTCGTTGTGAATTTACAAATGCACTGAAATATGTAAATGCAAGATCCTATGGACAGGATCCTGAACAGCCCTATTATTTAAAATACTAAAAAGTAGACTGTTTGTAACAACTTTTGTTTTATAAATAGGCAATACTTAAGTACCTTAAAAAGAAACATATTACTTAAAAGACTAAGAAGTATATTGTTTGTAATTCACTTTTGTTTTATAAATACGCCATATTTACAGTGGTCGAAAAAATTATAGTCGCACCATATTTGACAAGTTTTAACATTTTTTTTTAAATTTTAGTAAATTTTTCATAAAAATATAGTTAATTCTTTAACAAAGCCCGTGTAAAAAAATTCCGTTTTATAAAAAAGTCAAAATTAAAAAATAATATGTTAAAACTTGTCAAATATAGTGGGGCTATAATTTGTTTGCCTACTGTATGTACCTTAAAAAGAAACAAAACAATTAAAAGACTGAAAGGTATATTGTTTGTAACCACTATACTGTTTAAAACGGTTTTAACTTAAAAGACTGAATGAAATATATGTTATGTTAACGCCATACTTACCTTGAACAAAAATTAATTTAAAAACCTGAAAGATGTGACGACATTTAAAACATTACCAATAAGTGCCCTCATACTGTGAGTTCAAATTTTTGTTTTCTATCTTAAATAATAAAAACAAAGCATATTCAGGGAGTAGTAATTATTTAAATTTTATTGTTAAAAAGATGTGTCTTCAGAGCATCCCTTAAATCATAATTATTTGAACTGCCTCGGTTCGATGACACCCTACTTATTGAGGGCAATGGAACTACTTCGTTTCGCCATGAGCCAGCGATGGTGGCATCCTCTGCGTAGCGATCAACAAAATCGCTTGCTACATAGTTTGCACACGAAAACTTAATAAAATTATGCAAGACAATACAAGCTTTCACTATTTGTTCTGCATTTTTCGGGGCCATGCATAGCGTCGTTCTCAATATTCTCCATTTGGCAGTGAGTATTCCAAATGCGTTTTCTATAACTCTTCTTGCACGAGAGAGTCTTTTATTGAAATACTCTTGCTCTTCTGGAATACCTCTACCCGGATATGGTCGCATTAAATAACGCCGTAAGGGAAAAGCAGCATCTCCTACTAAATAATGTGGAAATGGCTCGGTTTCTCCTGGCAGAGGCTGATCATGTGGAAGGCCGAGCCTATCATTTTCAATAGCATCTGCCAGTTTTGAAAAGTGGTAGACACCGCCATCGCTTTGACTTCCATATGCTCCGATGTCAACGCAGGTAAAGGTATAATTGGCATCACATACGGCCAAAAGCACGATACTATAATTGCCTTTGTAATTATAGAACATCGACCCTGAATTCGCTGGACAGGTAATATTAATGTGCTTTCCGTCGATGGAACCAACGCAGTTGGGCATATTCCACAGCGACTTGAACTCATTGGAAATACGTCCCCATTCCGTTTCTGACGGGGTCGCCACATACAGGTCAGCTAACAGATCCCATATGGTCATACATGTCTCCAACGTAATCTTCCTGAAAGTCGTCAGGCCGATCCTGTGAACTATTGTGTGGAATTGCCGAGTGCCACCGTGAGCCAAATATCTGCAACAAAAAAATAAAACCAGATACATATATGGAAAATTATACGTATACTATTAAGTAAAACCGATTTTCTCTTACATCAGGGTTATAAATAGTCTGCAGCGGCTCGATATTGGTGTTCTGATTGAATATTTGGTCAGCGAAGCCTCCAGAAATTCGTGCAGCACATTAAATAACGAAAAGGGCATTCTTAATGTCTTGTTAAACTGCTCCTCATCTGCAGCCAAGTTTCTTAATGAACTTTCAAACAATCCATATTTGTGTCGCTCTAAGTACAATTTCCGAACCCAAAATCGGCGCTTCTGTTTTAATCGCAGTTTTAATTTACGCATTTTCGCTAAAATTAGGAAAATTCTCAAAACTTGTTCAGCATTTCGAGTCAACATTTTGTACTGCCAAATGAAACTTTATGAAAACCAACGAATCTGGTGGCCGGAACGATAAAAAGCAAGGTATCTGAAAAAAAAATAATGTTGTTAGCAACAAATAATTGTTTAATATAAACTCTTTTACCTCCAATTGAATATTACGTCTTATAAACACGGGTGGTGAGTGGCGCAGCCAAATGCAGCTTCACCAAAACCGGAACGATAAAAAAGCAAGGTATCTGTAAAAAATAATGTTCTTAGTAACAAATAATTGTTTAATAACATATATTTTAACTAAAATTCACAATTATACTTGCTGGCACAACAAAGAATGGCGGGTATATTTGCGCGCATTGAAAATCAGCTGACTACTATGACAGCGTTCAAAGCTACCATTAGGCCATAAAAGCCTTCAAAGTAAAGCAAAGCAAACTAAAGTAAGCAAAGCAAGCGTGCATTGGGCCAATACCTTTTGTTACGCTCTTTCGTTTAGTCGTCGCTGAGCAAGCAACATCGTGTTTGGCTGTTGCGCTTTGTTTCTTGAATGCAAAAATGCCTTGCGAGAAATATTACATGCTTGAAAATGCTTTTGGTGACATGCAATGCCTTTTGTGTTACAGGTCATTTAAAAAATAAAGAATATGCTATTCAAAGACATTTTGATTCTTTTCATAAGGAAATATTTTGATGAAGAAGAAATACAACGACTTTTTATTGAAAAAAAGTTAATTTTTTTCCAAGGAATTATAGGGTGGTTGTTAAAGGCAATATGTATGCGATTAAAAGACATTTTTAATCATTTCATAATGATATGGAAAATTTTGATGAACATGAATTTCAATTTTTTTATTTAAATTTTCAATATTTGGCGTTGATGAACCCAAACTATAAACTCGAGAAAACCAGTTTTAAAGTTTTGAATTTACATATACTCCCGAGGGAAAAATTAATACATATTCAGCTTTGTCATGAGTTTCATTTTCTCCAAGCCGGTTCACTTTTGTTTCCGTGAATTTACTATGCGCGGATGAACATTTTTCGGGTGAATTTTTTTTTCGGGCGAAAGTCAGGATAAGGTTGATTTTGTTCTAGTGAGCTACGAGTAATCCATAAAATTTTTACACATCATAAGAAAGAGCTAATGTACATTCTTGCATACTTAACCCGATTTTTGCTTTATTGGGATTATGATACTTTTATAGTAAATGAGCTATGCACATATATGTACATATGTATGTGTTAAATATACGTATTTATGTGTTTTTATTGAAGACCGATAAGTTAAAAATTTTTTCACTTCTCGTAATTTCCTACTGGGTTGCTCATGCGAAGGAGTTCTCTTGTGCTTACCAACACAAACACAGTTTAACCCTAGAACACACACCCAGAAAATACCACGTAAACACACACCCGGGATACGTTTGTACCCGGGACCTTATTTTGCGGTTTTTTTAATGCTTATTCAACCGATTTCTGATTTCTATGATTTTTTTTTTTGAAATGTATATTTTAATATATAACAAGTATTTTGTCTTTTGTTTCATTCGAATATTCGTACTGGTTCCAGCGATATGGGCAAATAAAGTCAGGACATGCAACAGTGGATTTTTGTTTTTGTTGTTGTCCTGATAAATGCAAAACAAAATAATATAATTTATAATAATATACTTGTAGAGTAACAACGAATACACATTTTGGTTTTTATTTCATTGAAATATTCTACCTGGTTCAAAAGATATGTGCAAAAAGGTCGCGCAAGGTATGGGTACGTAGGTAGCAAATACACTGGTATAACTGGTTTTTGTATTTTATATGCAGCTGCAAGGGTTGTTTTCACACGAGGTGTTGTTATAAATGCTGCCTGTTGATATTTTCATTATTGTTTTGGTGCTCAAAAGTGTAAGAAGTGAAAATATAAGTGAAAATAAATATAACCGAAACTATAAATAACTGGATACGAAATGACTTCAAGAAGAAACGAATATTTATCAAGTGCAGCATATAGAAGGTAAAAAATGTAAAATAAGCAACAATGTAAACATATACTAATTTTTTTATTATGCAGGCTAACTGAGGAACAGCGAGAATCATATATACAATCTTTATTTGATGAAATTTGTGACGATGACGCTCCCTATGACTTTGACTCAGAAGATGAAGAAGAAATTCAAATCAATGACATTGAAATTGCTGATGACGATGCTGAAGTTTCGCAAAGTGCCGCAGAAGTAATACCTGATTATGCGGACTATGAGGATGATGAAGAAGAAGAAGTAGAAGAAAATAATGAATTACCTGCTAGTGCCGAAAAATTTGTTGCACGTGATGGTACTGAGTGGATGAAAGAACCAAATGTAAGTCGTCAGGTACTCAGACAAAATATTATAAGAGAACGTTCTGGACCAGCTAGATGCACTGAAATGTTGTCAATAGAGCAAACATTCAAATGTTTCATGAACGTTGAAATGGCTGATATAATTATGCGCCACACAAATAAGTTAGCAAAAGAAACTTATAATGCTTACAACAATGCGCATCCAAACACAACTCCTAAGTCATGGACGCCTGTGTCAATAACAGAGCTGTATGCATTTTTTGGCATACTTATTATGACTGGTGCGAACCATAGCAATGGAGAACATGTTCGAGATTTATGGAGCGTCAAAAACTATCCTTTATATCGCGCCACAATGGGAGTCAACCGTTTCTGTTCGATATTGCGGTTCCTAAGATTTGACGATAAAAACACTCGTGCAACACGCTTACTAACTGATAAAGCAGCACCGATCAGTGAGTTGTGGACGATGATGAACAATAATCTTGCTGCACATTACAAGCCCAGCTCATGCTTGACGATTGATGAACAATTATTTCCTTACCGTGGACGCACACGGTTTACGCAGTACATACCGTCAAAACCTGCTAAATATGGTATCAAGGTTTGGTGGATTTGCGATGCCACAAATGCATATCCACTGCATGGACAAATATATACTGGCCAAGCAGAAACTGGTAGGGAAACGAACCAAGGCGAACGAGTGGTGAAGGATTTGTCTGCCAAATACCAAGGAAGTGGCCGAAACATTACAATGGACAATTTGTTTACGACCTTGCCAGTTGCAGAACTGCTTCTCACCTGGAAACTCACGATCGTTGGAACTTTGCGCAAAAACAAATCATATATTCCTCAAGAAATGAAGCAGAACAAAAACAGGACAATTGGTTCAACGACATTTGGCTTCAAAAATAATGTGACAATGTGCTCTTATGTTCCCAAAAAAAATAAAGCAGTAATTTTACTTTCGACCATGCATAATGATGCTGAAATAGCTGACAGTGGGAAACCTGAAATAATTGAATATTATAATCGTACCAAAGGTGGTGTTGATCGAATGGACCAAATGTTTGCGGAATATCCAACACAAAGACAAACAAAACGATGGCCACTAGCGATGTTCTTCAACATGTTGGACATTACAGCTCTTGCAGCCTACATTGTCTACGATTTGAATAACCCTATGTTGCCTTGGAGAACAAACAACAAGCGTAAGCAGATCCTGCGCAGCTTGGCTGAAGCATTGTGTATGCCCATTATTGAAGCCAGAGCCATAAATCGTCAAGTGACGCGAAATTTTTCGACTAAAATTGCTATTGAAGCATATTTCAACCGACCGGTGGAATCAATGGTGTCAACAGCAGCATCAACATCTGCCGCAGCGCGCACGCCAAAACCTGTGTCCGGATCTTGCTATTTATGTTACGCACAAGAGGAAAAACGCCGTAGAAGAACCAGAAAGCTGTGCGACAAATGTAAGAAGCCAATGTGTCTTGAACATTC